CAATGTTCTGATAACTGAGATAGTTTTTATAGAGATAGATTAGTCATTGAGTAACAGCTTCTTTACAAATTATGAAATCTCAGTGAAACTGATATTATAAGCAGGAATCTGCATTTGAATTTAAAGACTTCAATATAATAATATCAAGATTCTTAGAAAGAAGTGAAAGAGTGTTATAAATATAATCAGTATCTTTAAGAAAGCTAATAATATAATCTTTATACTTATACTGATATTCTCTGACTTGACAGATCTTAATAAAGACATATATATATGAAATTAATATCTCTTTAATCTGACTGAGAACAGAGAGATCTGAATCAAGATTATCAAAATCAAGATTATTTTCTTAAGAGAATAAAAATAACTTATCAGACAGCTGTCTTAAATCAATAGTATAATAATAAGTATAAATATTATCTTAAAGATTCATTCTGAACTAGTGAATTTAATAATAACTACAGATCTTTATCTGTAAATCTTCAAGTATGTGATGAAATTTCTGTATACACTGTTAATTATCAGAATTAACAGCTGAATCTGTAAGATAAGTAAAACTCTGAGAGTTTATTAAAGAGTCTGAGACAATTACAGCTTATAACTGATTATATTTCTAAAGAATTATATTATTATTATTATTATTCTTCAATTATAGATGTATGCAGTCAGAGACTATGACATCTACCTGAGAACTTTAGTTCTCAGGGTTTTTTCTATGTCTGTAAAGTTAACTATTGTACATTCATCAATTTCAGATATGCAAAATCAGAAAATTCCAGCCCAGAATACAAAAACTGTTTACAAATTGCAGTGTTTTAACATCTTTTGATACTTTGTAACCATTTGACAATATCATGACAAAAGAAAAGAGAGAAAGAACACAGTCTCAAAGATAGACACATTAAATAGATAGATAGAAAGAAATTGAAAGGAAAAGATACAGAAAAAGAAAAAGTAAAGAGAGACTATAACAAAACAAATTCTTAAAAGAGAGTGTATAGCTGTTTTAACAGACTATATCTGATTGATTTCCTCCTCTTCATATTCAGATAATTCTGAATTTAGCCATTTTCTTGTAGCTGCTTGAGTTTCTGATAGAAAGTCTATTAAGTATTTAATTCCTGTCTCAGTTGAGAATAAGAATCTCATATTTAATTGATTTAGATCATACTTCTCTTTCAATCTGGCTCTGAGACTATTGTATAATGCACAGTGCATTATAATATGCTCAGGATTCTCATTTGTATTGCAGAATGAGCATTCTATTGAGTCAAATCTATCATCAAATCTTTGTATATAAGATTTGAAATAGCCATGTCCTAGTTTCAGCTGTATTATAGATGAGAATATTTTCTTTTTACATTTAATTGAACAAGATTTCCACTTGGGTTTTGTTTCAAATCTTGAATAATGTATACTCTTCTTTTGTTTCTGCCAGCTTTCATTCCACTTGTCTAAACAAGATTCTTTTATTTTTCTCTTTATAAAAGACCAGGACACAATTTTTTGAATAGATCTGCTTAATTCTGCACCCTTTTTTGCAGCTGAATCAGCCAATTCATTGCCATGAATATTCATATGAGCAGGAACCCAGTGCAGATGAATTCTCAGCTTTGATGTTCTTCTCTCTTGAATTTTTAAAACAGAGTTTAAGATCAGTTCAAGATTCATTTGATCATTATGAATCTGACTATTTCTAAGTCTTTTTAAAGCAGCTTGACTATCAGAGAATATCCATGCCTCTTTCAAACAATTTCCTCTTTTATAAGATTTTATTTCAATGAGTTTGAAAGCTTTCACTATTGCAAATAGTTCAGCATCAAAGACTTCACATTCAGAGCCTAGATTCCAGAAATCTGAGATAAAATTAATATTATCTTCAGTATAAGCAATGCCTGCGCCCAATCTGTTCAAGTTCTCATTTTTTGAGCCATCTGAATAAATCAGAATAGAGTCTTTTATATTGATTGTAGAAATTCTCTTCAAATGCTGTTCATATTCTTTCTCTTTTGATAGTTCACTTATTTGTAAGTCTATAAGAGATTCAAGCTTTTTTCTCCAGAGAGATAACTTCTCATGATCAACTTTTTCAACATTTAAAGAAGAAAATTGGTTTTTAATCAGAGAGCATAGTCTGTACAGTTGAGAAGGCATTTTCTTTGAAGAATTATTTTCATTCCAATCAAGAAATCTATTCCAATCCAGTTCATTTCCAGAGTTAATTGATGGAAATGAAGAAGAGACTCTTTCTCTGATTATATGATTTGAGCTCATCTTTACAACTCTCAGAGCATAGTTCATACAGGCCTTTTCAAATCTAATAGTAGGAGGAGGAATTGAAGCTTCAATTTCCATTGCTTTAATAGGAGATGATTTAAATGCTCCCAGAATTCTTCTCAAGGCTCTGTTTTGCAGACTTTGAAAGAGTTCAGTGAAATTCCCTTGATTATTCCACCAAACTTGAACTCCATAATCAGCTACTGATGTAATACAGGCTATATATAACTGTCTCATAGCCTGGAAGGATAGACCCCTCTCTGTATTTGATAGTCTGATTATGTTGTTCAATAGTCTTTCTGCCTTGACAGTTCTTTGTTGAATGTGATATTTAAAATTCAACTTGGAGTTTAACCATACTCCTAACCATTTGACATTTACACTGGGTTTAATCTCTCTATTTAAAAGAGTTAGAGATAGTTCTTTCTCATTGAATCTAGGAAAGAAATGAATTAACTCAGTTTTATCCATATCAAATTGAATTTAATTGATATCTGCTCTAACAAAGATTTCCTTTGCAGCTTCTTCAATTACTTTCAAATTCTCTTTGATAGTTTTTGAGCTGTAGACTAGACCAATATCATCCACATAACTCGGAGATCGCACTATTCTCATATTTCTATTTTTGAATAGATATGCAGTGTATATTGCAAATAAAATGGGTGAGATTGGAGACCCCTGTGGTACTCCTATTTTTATCTCAGTCTTGTCTTGTTTCATTCCATCAAAGAAGAGTTGTATAATTCTTTTAGACATAAAACAGTTAACCCATTTTATTAGGGAAAGTGGCAGTTTTAATATCTTCAATGTCTGAATTAACTTTGACTTTGAAACATGATCAAACGCTCCTTTTATATCAATAAAAACTGCAGTTGAGACCAGACCCTCATGCTTTGCTATTTGAATATCATGAACAACTGAGAGAACAGTGTCAATTGCAGAACACTGTTTTCTACCTCCCATTTGTTCACTGAATAAAAGAGAATCATCTATAGAGCTTATAAAAGATAGTCGAGTAGCTATTATCTTTTCTAAAACCTTTCCTAAACAGTTCAATAGAGATATTACTCTATATGACTTAGGAATTGAAGTTTTTCTATTAGGTTTTGCAAGAATCACTCCAGTGGCTTCTCTCCAGCATTCAGGATGATATCCATTTTTCAAGAGATTGAAAAAGAGCTCAAAATATTCATTCTTTAAGTAGGAATATGTATTTTGAATAATCAAGTGATTAATTGAATCTGGACCTGCAGCAGTTTTAACAGAACTTGAGAAGATAGCTGACTCTAATTCATCTTGTGTAAGATCAGGCCATTCCCAGTCATTTTCATCAATGTAGTTGAGAAGTGATAAATTCTCTTCCTCTGAATCTGAATCTGAATCTGGTGAGTTCTGAAAGAGAATTCTCATGAAAGCTTGACATTTTTCCTCAAAAGAGTTTGCTGTATATGATTCATTCTGAAACTCATATTCTAGAGCTGGAAGTTTTGCTACACTTCTTGTTTTAGTATAGTTAAAAGCTTTAAAAACTTCCTTCCCTTGTGCTTCTTCAAGAAATTTATTCCAGCAGTCTGTTTTAGCTCTTTTAATATCTGAAAAATATTCATTTCTGACAGTTTTGAACTCTTCATCAGATATTACATCATTCTTCCAATCTCTTCTAGCAGTAGCTAATTCTTTTCTTTTAGATGAGATATTCTCATTCCACCAAGGTTTTGAATACTCAGAAGATTTTCTTTTTGGAATATTATCTCTAACACTTGTTAGAATGATAGATGTAATAAGCTTCACTCTATTCTCAAGCATTTCATTTGAGATATCTTGACCAGAATTCCAATATAGCTCATTCTGTCTTTCAGATTTTAACAGTTTTATGCTTTCTTCAACTGCTTTCCAATCAGCTTTTTCAAAGTTATACTGATTAGAGAGAAGAGGATTTTCACTCATTTGTTTTTCACTCAGTTCAATATCAAATTGAATAATCTCATGACCTGATCCTGATGTCTCATTTGAATCAATAAACCAGTTTACAAGTCTTCTTTCCATTAGATTTTGTGACATGAATGTTAGATCTATAATAGACTTCTGTTTCATGCCTTTTCTAAAGAATGTTTGTTGATCAGACTTATTAACCAAATCTATTGAATGCTCAAAGGTCCATTCAACCAGATTATCAGCTCTCACTGCTCTCTTGCATTCTGAATTCCACCAGGGATGATGTGCATTGAAATCTCCTGCAATTATAGAGTTTCTTGATGGAGTTATGTTCAGAAATCCTCTATCAATTGTCCAGATATTGTTATTTTCCTTCAATGACTTTTCATTATAGATATTTATGAGCTGTATAGTATCAAACTCATTTTCTTTATCTATAATATCACCCACCAGAATATCAGGGTCAGACATGATATCAAATCTTAGATTAAATTGATATCTTGATCTCTTTCTTCCATAGATCACTACTCTTGACTTTATCTCAGACTTTTGAGGTAAAAAGCAGTAGTAGCTTGAATGAGAAATGACATATTTTTGCTCAGCATCAAAATTCGGCTCCTGAAGCAGTACAAAATCAACTTTTTGTTCAAACACAATTTGAAGACAAGAATAAATGCAATTTGAGTTTCTATCCACATTATTTTGAATAAATGTGATTTTTGAAGAGTTTTTAAACTTTTTTTGTTGTTTTTGTTGTATATTCATACTAAAAGAGAGTAGAGAAGAATCTAATCACTATCATCAGATAGTAGATTATAACTGTTCTGAAAAGTAGGAATCTCAACTGCTTGCATTATATCTAGTTTATCACCAGAGTCATTTCTCAATTCTCTAATCTTAACAGGAGTTTGAGGATTCAAATTCTGTTTACATTTTGCTGGAGAATTGGAGTTTGAAGACTTAGATAATTGAGAGTTTCTTCTTTTTGAGCTTGCAGTTGTGAGTTTACTGGCTTGACTCTTCTCTTCAGTTCTAGATTGACTTTGAGCTTCATCTTTTCTCCAGTTCTTTTGAGTTCTAGGAGCAAACATACATTCTTTAGAGCTAGATGCATGTTTTTCTTTGCAATTAGAGCACTTAAGCAGAGTATGTTGACAAATTTCACCTCTTTTTGAGCATGTTTCACATTTATGCTCACTAGTTTTGTGATCTCTGGCACAGAATGCACATTTTGAGTCTCTAAAACATGAGATTGCAAAGTGTCCATATCTTTGACAGTTTGAACACTGTGTTTGAGCTTTGAGATTCATTCTTGAGTCTTTGTATTCATGAACTCTCATTTTCAAACCTGCTACTCTTACTTCAGAGATCTTTGACTGTTCAAGTGTTTTTGTATATACTAGAACAGAGGCATTTCTCCTGCTTTGTCTGAACTCAATTGAATTTAGCCATACAGGCTCCTTTCTCAGTTGAATGGAGTTGTATTCTTCCAATTCATTTTTGAGAAGTAGCATTCCTTCTTCACAGTCAAAAATTTCAACTGGAATATCATGAAGAATGAATTTGCCCCACTTTTCATCTCTTTCAGATAGAATTGTTGTGTTTAGCAATGATTCTACTGCTGACTTCCAGAGATTCTCATTCTGAATAAGGAATTCAGCACTGAATTCAGGCATTGTAGTCAGAATAATAGAGTTTCCAAAGAATGATGGCTCAATTGAAGCTATAACTGGTTTTTGAACTTCAATATCAGTCATCAACTGAGAAAAGAACTGCTGATTAATTTCATTTCTGATTCTGAAAATGAGATTTGAGTTTAGCTTGTTTCTTTGCAGAATGTCCTGGTTTGAGACTTTGAGAATGAGTCTTCTATTTCTAGAGATTTGGAAGTTTTTCTCTTTTTGCATTTTCTTTTCCACTTTTCTATGAATAGAGGCTCTAAAGAATTATAAAAGCTTCTATATTTAATGTATTAATTGAGCTTTCAGACTATGTAGAGTGCTGAGATGTCAAGAGACTACTAACTCTTCTATTAAGTTAATTAATGAATAAATCTGCAGAGCTCTGAGAAACAGAGTTTTGAGAAGTTAAAAATAAGAAAAATAATATAAAAGATATCTGCAGTGAAAGTATATCTGTAAAAGTGAAATAAAATTAACTTAGAAATAAGTTAAATGATAATATAGATAATTAATAAAAGACTGAAGAGAGATCTGTAGAATCAGAAGATGAATTAATTATTAAAAATAACAGTTACAGTTATTTTCTTAATTAAGTTAAGAATAAAGTTAATAAGAGATATTCTCTATAATATCTAGTAATACAGTGAGCTCTTTGAATAACAGTTTTCTTTTTATAGACTGCTGTTAATAAAGATATATCAGAACTATGAATCTTACAGTGATAAAACTTAATCTCAGATAATATATCTATTTCAATAGACTGTTTACAGGCTTGAGAGACTGCTGTTAATTGTATAAAGTATTGACATGTCTGAAGTGATAAGAGAAGTTCAGACTTATTTATCACAGAATCTGTGACTGTAGAAGAATCTGATTTTACTATATATATCTGTTTACAGTTCTACACAGTGTAAAGAGATAATCAGTGATAGAAAAGATGTAATGAGAGAAGATTATAATATCTAAGTTCTCTGAGTACAGTATTGAAGATAGATAGCTGTAGAAGTAGTAGAACACTGTAAAGAAATAAATTAATTAAGAGACTGATTTTATAAGCAGTGAATGCAGACTTTTAATACATTATTCATTCTTGAAAATCTATAAGAGATGATTGATCAGATGTGTTATTTATTCAAGAATCTGTACAGAGTAGATAGTTAATGAGATATGTAATCTATTATTCAAGAATCTGTACAGAGTAGATGATATGATTAATAATATGATTAATAAGATGAAAGATGAACATGTTATAAGTGTGTAGAAGAAGTTATAGTGCAATGTCATGAAATTGCACTTCACTTAATTCTACACTAATCAGTGAGCTGTATTCACATCAAGAATCTCAAAAAGGAAATTCTCCACTTTTAATGACCAGGGTTTTCATCATATATTTGCTTCGCTTTGCTCCGCAAATAATTCTTAATATAATTAACTTAATTTAACTAAATTAATTATATAATCACTCTGAAATAAAAAGCTAAACCGAATTTGGAATTTAATTCTTGGCGCGACGCATTCCAAGGTTGTTGAGGCATTATTATTGAAGGAGCAATGATAGGATGGCAAACTGAGGGCAGCTATCCAATTTCTATGGACGTGGTGTCTTGACGGTCAAGGTGAGAAACTCTTCATGTATATAGGGATCCTATATCCCAACTGTTGTAATCCGTGTGCGAGGCTAGGCAGACATTGACGAGGTATCCCGTCGCGAGAGACAATCGAGTAAACAGAACTACTTTACTCCGTCTCTCGGGAAGAAAATAAGCTGACCAAAATAAAATCTACTCCTATAGATGAATACCGGCAGATTCGCTACTACCCAGCCAACATATAATTTCATAGCAGGAGTTTCCTCCCCGTCTCCTTCCGCTGGCGGTGGTGGTGGTGGTGGTGATGCTGGGAATCCGTCATTCCGACAGAGTATCCACTCGGGGCAACCACCAATAGCCGGTTAGTTTTGCTTCTTGCGATGTTCTCACATATGAAAATTGAACAAACTAATAGATGAATGAATGTTAGATGCTGGGAACGAGGAGCTACGCGTGGAAATAAACACATTGCGATATGAACTAGACAATTTGAAACAGGAGCGGGACCTGACAGCTCTTCATCATGAGAAGGAGCTTCGCGAATTACAAATTAGGGCAGATGCTGATTTTCGAAAGGCTCAGGTTGGATCTGCTATCTTTTTTTCCCTCTTTAACAACGAGCAATTAGCGAACTCTCGGTTTCAAGACAAGGCTAACAACAAACTGGTTCAAAATAGGCAGCCGAAAGTAGCAGCAACAGAGCCCAGCATAAAATCGAGTCACTCACAACTGAGCTGAAAACGGTGCAGGAATCTGCGATAAACGAGAAGGCGGCCTTTGATAAACGGATACGAAACTTGGAAGATCATAACCGGTCGCTACAGGAGGAGATTGACGACACCCAATCCCAGTTGTCCGACCAGGAGCGACAATACAAGCACCAGATTAATGAATTAGAAGCAATTCGATCATCACTCCAGAAAACCCTTGACGAAGTCCAAACCGATCTTCATCAGACCAAAGATAGCCTGCAGGTCCTTCAGGATAAATTAACCCAACTGGAGGCTGATGCCGGGGCACTTGAAAGTGAAAACATTCGGTTAAAATCAGAAGGAACGGATTCAGGAACTCTCAATGTCCTAAAACGTGAACTTTCGGAGCAATTAGCACATGCTAAGCGGCTGGAAGCTGAGTTACGTCCGCTGCGAAAATCGCAGAAGAATGTTGAGGTTGTAGAAGAACAGAAAAAGGCACTTGAGAGCCGGCTGCACTTAATGCAAGACGTGGAGGTGGAGCTTAGAAATGTACAAATTCAAAATCAAGCTTTGGAGGATGAACGGCGGTCTTGGACCCGTTTGTTACAGTCGGACGGCCAAGATCTCGAATTCGAGTCACCCGAAGAAGTTGCACGAGCGCTTGTCGAAGCACGCATTGAGAATGCATCATTGCTCAATAAAGTTGGGACTATTCAGGCTGAGGTGGCTGAAAAGGCTGAGTTGGTGCGAAACCTGGAAACGGAAAAATCGAATCTTCAACAGGATATTGCAAAACTACGTGCAGGTAATTCCGTTGGAAATGGCTTCGATTCTCGTGCGAAGACACGATTAGAACGCCAGCGAACCCTAGCGATGAGAGAGGTGGAATATCTCCGCGCACAGCTAAAGACCTTCGACGCAGAAGAAACCACGATGAACGCAGACGAAACAACCTTCGATCAGCAAAAATCCGATCACATAGCGCACCTCGAGAGTCTCCTCAGCGAACACCGTGAAGAACTTCATAAGCTCCATGAAGAGTTATCAAAGCAAGAAAAGACACCTGTAGAGGATACTAATGCTCCACGCGGAGTTAAACGCCCTCTCTCGCCAGCAGATAGCGACGCAGAAAGCGAAAGGCTCGCTGTGCTCACACGGAAAAACCGCAGCCTGCAAGACAACCTTTCAAAAGCAGAACAATCAATCGAGCTGCTCACACGCGAATTCGAGGCTACAAAATCCCACCTTTCCACCCTCCAATCCCAATCCCGAACTCGCATACTTGAACTTCGCTCGAATCCCACCGCGGAAGCTGAAAAAGTTAAATTATCCACTCTCGCGGTCCTGCGCGCTGAGAATCGCGACCTCCTAGCCCAGCTACGCAACGAGCGCGCGAACGTCAAAGTCGTACCCCTCTCCACCCTCGAAAGCAAAGAAATGGAGCTCCGCGAGATGGGAAAGACCGTCGCGGAAAAAGAGAAACGCATGCGACGCCTGAAGGAGATATGGACTGCAAAATCGTCCGAATTCCGAGAAGCTGTTGCGTCAGTTCTCGGATACAAGCTTGATTTTTTACCCAATGGCCGTGTCCGCGTAACATCCATGTTCCATCTTTCGCCAGCCTACAGGCACGGAGATCGCGATGCGTCTCCCGATGCGAGGGGGCCTGGGAGTATGGGTGATGGAGAGGAGAATTCTATAATTTTTGATGGAGAGAATGGGACGATGAAGATCTCTGGCGGTCCGAATAGTCTGTTTGCGATGGAGATTCGGAGTCTGATCAAGTTTTGGGTAGAGGAGCGGAAGGATATCCCTTGTTTCCTTGCAGCTATGACGCTTGACTTTTATGATAAGACGACGAGGGCTGCTAGGGTGTGAGATTGCGGGATGTATAATTCAGTACTCTATCCTTTTTCCCACTTTTCCTCCTGCTCGTTTTTTTTTTCGTGAACCAGATGAACAACTGGCGTTTGCATTATTCTGCTATGCTATAGTCTCATTCTGTCTCCTCTCTAAGGGTTGGTTGATTCTTACTTCCTTGCTTTTCCCTTTTAGCCCACTGAGTTCTTCAACCTATAGATACCTGTTTTCTTTCCTATTCTCTTTTGCTCCCTTTTACATGTCTCCATGTATGAATAGGAGCCATACCCCATCAATGGGGGAAACGTCACCATCTTCAAAAATCGCAAGGCTAATTCACCTTTAAACCTGTTCCGATGCGGATGATATGACCCGACTTTAAACATCCAGTTCGAAGTATGTAAGTTCCAGACTCACGAAAGTTTGTGAATATTTTTCGATCTTTTTTTTGAAAGTACTTCTAACTCCCCTTTCGTTTTCAGATCATGAGGTCTCAACCCCTCCGGGGGGTCTGAAGGGGAAAATGATAATAATAATAATAATAATAATAATAATAATAATAATAATAATAATAATAATAATAATAATAACTGTCATCAACTCATACATACTCTGTAAATTCACAATTAAAATTTCAAAGATAGTTTCAGAATTCTTCCAAAAATCAACTCAGCATATCAAACAAAATGTAAAATAGTTGAAAGTTGTATTGATGAAGCTATTTACAAAGAGCTTATGATAGTGATTGATGACGTGATCTAGAGAGATCGTCACAGGCAATAGCCGCAGCGGCTGCAGCGGCCAACACCCTCTCTCAAGATAATAAGAATCATGTACAAAAACACTAAAA